ACAACTGTAACCGTACGATGAAGTTTGGATGGTGATGAGGGTATGCAAAATCACTGTTCATTTTCGCCTTTAGGGGCTAAGAAGAGTTTTCATATATATATATATTTATTGCTTTGTGCCAATTTTTGTATTGTCTCAATCAATTTTACTGGTTCTTTGGTTTTTTAGATTTTATTTTTTAATTTTTGGGTGCTTTGCTATGATTGTAATGATGCGCTTCAGTTGTTTTGGACTGCTTTGATTTCTTTCTTTAGCCTTTTATAAAAAGAAAAAGTTTATACAAAAGGTTAGGCCTAAACAACCAAATTAAGGCACATCTCAAAAATTCACTAGGCGAGGTTGTTTTAATGCTCAAAAATCCTCAAATTGATCTTCTCAACCTCAAGATGTACAGAGATGAAAAAAATTGGTTAATAGTGCATCCTGTGATGCATTTTTTTACCATCAATAGTCAATATTTTCAAAGTGTTCATAGATACGTTCGATCTACATCATTTTTGAAGCTTTAAATTTTGTAATTAGAGATGAAAATAAATTTTCAGGCCATCACAAAGATTTTTCAGTATTTAAACAACTACTTCTGATACTAATTGAAGGCACACCTTACTTTGATGGTTTAGGGCCTTGGCCGTATACAAACCACGCCTTTTAGAAAAATATGCATGTTTCTTATTTGAAATTTTGAATTTTTATGTTGTTAACTATGGATAGTTGCTCGAGCAGAGGTAGGGATATCCTAGAGTATTTTTTAACCAGGTGTTTATTTTTAAACCATTAGGGTGAACGAAGGTAAGAATATCCTAGAGTAGTTGACCAACAATGGTTGACCATTGATGTTAAGATGGAAGATGATGAGAAGGCAACAATCCAGCTTTCCTAAGAAAATAATATGCTTCATGGGATCCCCAATTCTTATTGTAACCACTTCCACCCATCCGCCCTTCCTTTCGACAGCCCCACGACTTATTCCCATCTCCTTTGTCACCTTTGCCAACCTTGCTTCTCAACTTCGGATCTTCCTGATGGGTATCTTCAACCCCCAGAGAAATGATAGTAAGGGGATCGAGAAATGGGCTTTGAAACTCTGACAAGAACCTGGTCTGGCCTGCAGGCCCCTCTCTAATGGCTCTTATCTTTTATCCTTCCCCTCTGAGAAGAGAGCTTCGGCAGCATTGGGAACCAGTCTCCAACCCTTTCATGGAGCCCTGTCCCTTACTCGCTGGACTGAAGAAGTTGGAGCGTTCCGGTGTCAAAAGATTTGGATCACGGCCTATTGCATTTCGCTTCATTCTTGGTGTGTCGAAACGTTCAGAGCTAATCACCAACCTTTATTGATCGACAGAGAAAGAGGGCATGGTGCCTAGAGTCAAAAGAAGTGTCTCTGGGAGGAGAGCTGAGATCTTCGATAAAGGGTCGGTCCCTTCTTAGCCGCGGGGCTAGGCATCTAAGTCAGTCCTAGTGCTGGGCCTTTCTTTACTGTCCACGTGTGGGGCATTCGTGGCTGTCCTTTGTCAATCTTTGAATAGTCTCCCTCTTGGGTCTTTAAGGTTGATTGTTGATGTTTTGGATCCACATTTCATTCCTTCATCGCTCTGGCTTGAAATCTTGGGGACCTATTATAAAGTCCTTATCTCATGGTCCTCTGCTTCCCCTCCCTCGCCTTGCTTTGTCTTCCATCCGTCCACCTTCCCCAATTCTGTGTCATCTGCTGCTGACCATTGGACAGTGGTCTCTCATAAACGTCGTTCTCGCCTTGTCTGACCACAGCAGAAGGGCCACTCCTTTGGTCGCCCTCACTCCTGAATCCATTGTCCGCAACCTTTTTATCCGCAATCCAGCACGTTTCCCCCTTCATCTCCTTCTTTTCTGCCACTGCTGCTTCCTCCTCCTCCACAGCCACCTCCACCTCCACTGTCCCATCCCAAGGTTTGACCTCGATCAATGAGCCTTCTGTAAAGGTGGTCGATGGTAACACTTCTCACGCTCCGAGAGCTACCTTGACGGCCATTCCCAACTTTACTCCTGGAAACCACTCACTTTCATTCGATGCCACTGGCTATCCGCCTCCCTCTTTCTTTGCCATTGACGTTCAGCGGCTCCCTTTCTCCAAGGCCTAATCTCTCTCTTTGGTCTACGTGGCATCTTCGGTCATTTCACGACCCTCTGCCATCACTACCTCGACACATCACCCTTCATCAGTCGTACCTTCACTCTCTTCGAGGGGACAAGTGGTAGATATAGCCCCCCTTAGGTAATTTTTTCTTTCATTCCATCCCTCTATCTTTGGTCCCCCACCTACTCCCTCGACCCCCTATGTCGACACCTGACACCTCTTCTCCCTTCTTCGAAGATTGTGCCCCATCGTCGGGGGTTTCACCGCTTCCATGTTCTAATCGCATCCCTTTCCTTATTTCCTCGTTTCACCCTTGCATTCCTGCCTCACCTCTTCCACCGACAATAGAGACTCTACTCCTCTCCCCATTCGGCCCCAACCCTCAACTCATCTCTAGTTTGTCACCTCCTCTCAGGGCCATCACCTTTCATTGATCTCGAGGCTTCCCCGCCAAACGCCTACCTCCTGGCTTCCAACCATCCTCTCTCCTCCCTGATGATGGTCATCATCCCTGCACCCGTAGTTTCCCAAGGGCCTTATCCTTTTGCCCTGCCACCGTATCCATATCCTCATTCTCCTCCCTTGGAGACCCAAACCTTGGCTCCCGCCCCCATCTCTAACTCCCATCTTCCGTCTGGGTCTTCTCTTCTACCTTACC